GAGCTCTGCCCACAATGGGGGCAGTGCCTTCAGGGTGGCTGGGTATGGGAGCCTCCAGCCTACCCCAGGCATGCCCACCCGGCCTGTGTCCTTCCATGAGCGTGGCGGGGCTGGAAGCCGGGCTGACTATGACACACTGTCCCTGCGTTCACTGAGGCTGGGTGCCGGGGGCCTGGAAGATGGCTACAGCGTGGTGTCTGAGCAGCTGGAGCCTGCAGGCGCCTCCACTTACAGGGCTTTTGCCTATGAGCGCCAGGCCAGCTCTAGCTCAAGCCGGGCTGGAGGGCTGGACTGGCCAGAGGCTGCTGAGGGCCCCCCTAGCCGCACCATCCGTGCCCCTGCCATGCGGACCCTTCAGCGATTCCAGAGCAGCCACCGAAGCCGTGGAGGGACTGGGGCAGTGCCAGGAACAAGCCTGGAGCCCATGGCCAGGGCCCCATCTGTGCGAAGCCTCAGCCTCAGCCTGGCTGACTCAGGCCACTTGCCCGATGTGCGTGGGCTGGACAGCTATGCCGGCCATCGCACTCTACAGAGGCTCAGCAGTGGGTAAGCTGGCCAGGCCCAGGGAGGAGGGGATTTTGCCACAGCATTTGGCCCAAGCCCAGGGTCAACTTGACCCTACCCCTGCCTCTACAGCTTTGATGACATCGACCTGCCCTCAGCAGTCAAGTACCTCATGGCCTCAGACCCCAACCTGCAGGTGTTAGGTGCAGCCTACATCCAGCACCGATGCTACAGTGATGCAGGAGCCAAGAAGCAGGTATTTGCTCCTACTACCCACCCCTGGCCCTTCAGTGGCTGTCTACTGGCTGTGCATGTCCCTGATGATCACCCCCATTGGTCCTTCTGCCCCTCGACCTCTGGCCCCGCCTACTCTCGAAGCTAACTGAAAGATACACCCTGCCCAGAGCCTCTCTGCAAAGGAGGGGCACAAATGTGCCATTTGTAGACAGCTGCAAACACCTATATGCACCGTAGGCCACGTCACCTGTACACGCCTGCACCACCTGCATGCATCCACATGAGTCCACATGCATCTGCATCACCTTCCACACCTGTATACATCCGCACCTGCTCACACACACAGCGACTGAAGGTCTGAAGGCACCCACATAATCCCCATTCCTGTGCCACAGGCCCGCAGCCTTCAGGCAGTGCCGAGGCTGGTGAAGCTCTTCAACCATGCCAATCAGGAGGTACAGCGTCATGCCACAGGTGCCATGCGAAACCTCATCTATGACAACGCTGACAACAAGCTGGCCCTGGTGGAGGAGAATGGCATCTTTGAGCTGCTACGGACACTGCGGGAGCAGGATGATGAACTGCGCAAGAATGTCACAGGTATCCTGACCTGTCCTCCCCAAGCCCCCTCCTGCCCCTCCCTGTGTCTCTCCTGCTCCTTGGTCTCCAAAACCCTGTTCTCGTGGTTCTTGTCCTCTCTCCCTGTCTCTTTTTCCCTCTCTCTCTCCCTCTTTCTCTCCCTCTCTCAGGATCCGACCCAGGACCTCACCATACCAAGGCAATACCCCAGCTCCTGCCCCTAAGCATTAGTCCCAGAACAGTCACACAGAGGGCTTCCTCAGAGGGGTAGGAAGTAGAGAGCCTCCCCTGCACCATCCCCAAAAGAGCCAAGGGGTCAGAGGGCGGGTCCTGACCATAGCTCTGGTTGCCTCCAGGGATCCTGTGGAACCTGTCATCCAGTGACCACTTGAAGGACCGGCTGGCCCGTGATACACTGGAGCAGCTCACAGACCTGGTGCTGAGCCCCCTGTCAGGCACGGGGGGCCCCCCCCTCATCCAGCAGAACGCCTCTGAGGCTGAGATCTTCTACAATGCCACTGGCTTCCTCAGGTGCGAGGTGCAGGGACAGCTGAGAGGTGGGGGCAAGAACACTGAGGAGCACTTTCATCTGAGTCTGACAGAAGGAGTTAGATGGGAAACATGGAAGGCCAGGGAGGCCACCAGGTATGGGCATCACCCTGGCTGCAGGCTTGGAGTGTCAGGTCTCCTGATCTGACATTCCTCATTTCTCAGGTAAAAGGTAGTGGATGTAAAGGTGGACGGGGCTAGCACAGCCCAGTGATACAGTGGGGCAGCTCACAGACTGCTGCAGGGACTAAGAGTAGGACAGAGACAGATTGCACCCACCAGGATTTTGTCCCCAGGACAGTGGCTTAGGGCCCAGCGTCCTTGGGAGAGACTTCTAGGGTCCCTGTGGCATTCTGCTCCGCCTCTCTCCCCAGGAACCTCAGCTCAGCCTCCCAGGCCACTCGCCAAAAGATGCGGGAATGTCACGGGCTTGTGGATGCCCTGGTCACCTATATCAACCATGCCCTGGATGTGGGCAAGTGTGAGGACAAGGTGAGGGGCAGCCAGCACCTTGGGGATTCTGGGACTGCAGCCTGCGCTAACCACCCTCCGCCCTGGCCCTCTGTAGAGTGTGGAGAATGCTGTGTGTGTGCTGAGGAACCTGTCCTACCGCCTGTATGATGAGATGCCACCATCCGCCCTGCAGCGGCTCGAGGGCCGGGGCCGCAGGGACCTGAGCGGGGCACCACCGGGAGAGGTGGTGGGCTGCTTCACACCACAGAGCCGGCGGTTGCGTGAGGTGAGCTGATGGAGCAGGGAATGCTGGCTGAGCCCCCTGAAGCCCCCACCCAGGGTTCCCACAGTCCCTCCAGTCCCCTCCCCACCATCCCTCACCCCTCTAACCCTCCACTCTTTCCACACAGCTGCCTCTCACAGCTGACGCACTCACCTTTGCCGAGGTATCAAAGGACCCCAAGGGTCTCGAGTGGCTGTGGAGTCCACAGATCGTGGGCCTCTACAACCGGCTGCTGCAGCGCTGTGAGCTGAACAGACACACTACTGAGGCAGCCGCAGGGGCCCTGCAAAACATCACTGCAGGGGACCGCAGGGTCAGTCACATGGGCTGCTAGTGGGACAGGGGACAAGACCAGGAACAGGCCCTGTCACATCTGGGTCTGAATGAACAGGACAGAGGGGCCACTTGGTCAGAGAAGGCAGAGCAGATGGAGGCTGGCAGTGGCAGTAGAAAAGCAGTTCTGCCTAGGCCTGGGTCAGCAGTCAGGGCCATCCAGGGTGGTCAGTGGTTGGGGCCAGCATGGGGGCCACATGTCCTCATGCCACTCCCCTGCAGTGGGCAGGTGTGCTGAGCCGCCTGGCACTGGAGCAGGAGAGAATACTGAACCCCCTGTTGGACCGAGTTCGGACCGCTGACCACCACCAGCTACGCTCGCTGACAGGGCTAATCCGAAACCTCTCCCGGAACGCCAGGAACAAGGATGAGATGTGTGAGTTGGCCACCCCTACCTGAGGCTCTGCCTCACTCTCTCAGCTGGCTTCTGGTGGGGACTGGGAATGGAGGCAGACTCGCCAGCTCCTTTGGAGCAGAAGCAGGCAGAGGCTGATCTCCTTCCCTCCTGCAGCCACCAAGGTAGTGAGCCACCTGATTGAGAAGCTGCCTGGCAGCGTGGGTGAGAAGTCTCCCCAGGCTGAGGTGCTGGTCAACATCATCGCAGTGCTCAACAACTTGGTGGTGGCCAGTCCCATTGCGGCCCGTGACCTGCTGTATTTTGATGGGCTCCGAAAACTCATCTTCATCAAGAAGAAGAGAGACAGGTAAGTGCCAGCTGAGCCTTGAGGCCAGAAGGGGTGCACCTGGCTGCCTTCTCCCCTGACCCTGACTCCATGACTGCCTTAGCCCAGACAGTGAGAAATCCTCCCGCGCGGCCTCCAGCCTCCTGGCCAACCTGTGGCAGTACACCAAGCTGCACCGAGACTTCCGTGCGGTATGACCTGTGCAACCAAGCAGGCAGAGGGAAGGGGGTACACTTGGGTGTGGGGAATGGCACCTCAGGTATGGGAAATGGATGCCCATGAGATGCAGGAGACCTCGGGCCCTGGCCATCCACTGTGAGAGGCCCAGTGTCTCTTGCTAGCAGGGCCGAGCAGACACAGACCTGCATGCACCCTGACTCCAGCCCCTCTCCATGCAGAAAGGCTATCGGAAAGAGGACTTCCTCGCCCCATAAGCAAGGCAACTTGGAGAGAAGGTGGTATTGTCCAGCCTCCGAAGGACAGGTTCAACTCTGGCTGCTCACCAGCCAGCCTGGAGAAGGAGGCTGATGGCCAAGGGCAATCTCTCCCTGGCACCTCTGTGCACCTTTGAGGAGTCTTTCCATGGGGAGGGAATGGGGCTTGCAGTTGGGCATTTGGCTTCAGCAGGGCAAGGGTGTGCAGGGCTTAGGCTGCTGTGGGGCATGGGGTGGTGACCCAGTCCCAGTAGCAGAGATGGGGCTGGCCGTGGCCTGGCAATGCCTCCAGATAGTGGCATGGGAATAAAGGTAACTGAACTCAGGCCTGGCCCTGTGTGTGTCCATCAGTGGGCTGCCAAAACCAGGACCTGTCCCCAAGTAAGTCCACCTGGCCCTGAGAGCACTCACTCCCCTGAGCTCACAAACAGGCCTCCTAAGGTCAAAGGACCCAGGACAGGCAGGGAGTGTCCAGCAGAGGGAGAAAGGACAGGGCAACAACAGACAGCTCAGAGCTACCTGAGACACAGTCACAGTAGAGCCATGATCTTTTGAGTAGAGTGACCAAAGCAGGGCTACCAATGAGCAATACTCATGCAGCAAACACACCCACGACTGCAGGTCAGCCCTGTCCCAAACCCAGAGGTACCCAAGGATTTGTGTTCAAGAGGCTTGGGGGCACCCACACAAGCTCAGATTTCTTAGAAGACTGCCCCCTCCAAGATCTGTCCAGATCTACGGAGCCGGGGACAGCCAGGGAGATTTGGGGAAGACTACAAAGAACATGCCTGAGCTGGTTCAGAGCAGAGAGGGCGCAGATAGGTAGATAGACGAGCAAACAGGTGTTGGGGCAAATGGGAAAAGAGAAGGTGGAGAGCCTTGGAAAACCTGAGATGAATACAGGAGGGGGAGTATCCTAGCCAGAAGAGGAAGGTGAGACCTAGGTAGAAGCCAAAGGACTTTATTTCCTGGCATCTTTGGCCCACACCCCTTCCCTGAGGGGCCCTGGGCTACAGGCAGGGTTTGTCATCCTGCATGGCAGAAACCTGCCTGCTCCTGGCTCCCGGGCTGGAGCAAGGGCTACACGTCCTCCTCAGACACCAGGCAGTAGAAATCTGTGCGGGCACTGTAGTTTCGGGAGCCAAGGTCAGAGATGTCCATCTCGCTGCCACAGCCCTCTCTCATTGAGACCCCACTTGCATGCAGTGGAGCTGGTGGCTTCCGAAAGACAGGCCCTCGTACACCTGGAGGGTACACAAGCCTGAGGCAGGGCTGCCCATGCCTCCCTTGCACCAGAACCACAACCTGACCGCCACCAGGGACACAGTGTGCTCACTCCCAGACATGGTGATACTAAAGATCCAGTGAGTTCCTAGGAAGGCATTGACCCCTGCAGCACCTCTGCAGTGTGAAGCAGCCAGCGATGCTGGAGGTGGTGATCAAACCTCCACAGGCCGCAAGAGACCTGAGTCCTCCACACTTCCCCATGCCCACCCTCTGCCGGGGCGCTCTTGGTCAAAGTGGCCCGGTCCGTATGGCAAGGCGGGCGTACCCAGGCAGGCGTACCCAGGTCTCCCTCCGGGTCGAGGTCCAGCTCCCGCTCCCGCTCCAGAGCCCGGCTCTCAGCGGCACAGCCTCGTACAATCAGCATGGGGTCGTTGTCATCCTGAAGGTGGATCTGGGGGTCCCCCTCTGCCGGCCTGTACTGCACTTTCCGCGGTAGTGCAAGCTGCAGCTCTTTCCAAAAATCGGAGGACAGCATCTGGGGCGGAAGGGGCCATCAGGCTCTGGGGTCCAACTTGCGACCCCACCTCGTTCCCTGCCCCCTGCCCCCTACCCCTAGCACACCGCGGAGCCCGGCCTCCAGAGTAGCAGGGTGACCAGGTGGCGGTGCTGACGCAGCAGACGCAGCGCAGGGTGCGCAGGATCGCGCCGAGTACTCTCGAAGATGATGAAAATGGGTCTGCGCGTCAGCTCCAGCAGCCGGCACAAGCCCTCCCTGCGGAGGCGGGACCGTCAGACGGCGGCAGGCACGGCCTGCCCTCATTCCCGAACCCACGGGACACACCGGAAGCTGTGGTTGCACCAGGGCCGTCCCAGGAAGGCGTCCGAAAGCACCACTATGAGGCGCCGGCACCGGCTCAGGTTCACCAGGAGGTCGGCCGAGGGCTCTGCAGACGCGCAGAGGTGAGGAGCTAGGCTCCGCGGACGGGGGCGGGGCCGCGGCCAGGGGCGGGGCCGCCACCAGGGGCGGGGCCGGAGGCGGGGGGGGGGGGGGGGGGGCTGCTGGTGGGCGAGGCTCTACGACCTGTAGGGGCGCTGAGCACCCGAAGAGGGGTGGGCCGGTAGTAAAAGAACAGAGGAACTGAGGGCGCCACCAGCGTCGAGGGCGGGGCACCGAGAGGGAGGGGTGAGCCAGCCGGGCGAGGCCTTACCAGCGCGGGGTAGGAGGTCCCGGTCGTCCAGGAAGAGTTTGTAACCCCGACGCCGCTCCAGCTGCGGCTTTAAGATGAAGTTCACGAATTTGCGGTCCTCTGGGCAATCGCTGTAGGAGACGAAGGCGTCGTAGAGCTTTCCGTCTGCGAACAGCGGACAGTCAGAGCGGCCACTTCTGAGACCTCAGACCCCACACACAGTAGCATCTCCCACCACTGCTTCCTCTGCACTCCCAGCCTGGAGCCCCGGGAGACCCAGGCCCAGGGAAGGCCTGCAGCCTCGTGCGCACCGTTCATTTCCACCTCTCCATGTGTGTCTTGGTACCAAAGCAGCACGTTGAGACGACACTTCACATAGAGCAGCCCCGCGAGCAGCAAGACTAGAAGGACCAGGAGGGCAGCCAGCACCGCAGCCACGTGGCCCGCCAGGCCTGTGGATAACGCTGGCCTGGATCAGTGCCCTCAGGCCTCTAGGCCTAGGCCCCTATCCCCCAACCCCACGCACCCCCTTACCAGCTCTCTGCAGAATAAAAGAGGAGGAGCTGACATTGTGGACAGAGCAAGCGAAGGTCCCATAGTCCTCAGCTTTAGTCACGTTGATGTACAGGACACTGGACACAAGCACCTCTGAGACTTTGGTCTGGACCCTAAGGAAACCAAGCCAAGCCTCACCAGGAGCTGAGCATCTCCACATAGCCAGAGCCACACCTGTAGCTCACAGAAAGAGGCTTCTGGGCAGTTCTTTGTTTGTTTGTATTTTAGAGAAGGATCTACAGGGTATTCAGGGTCTCACTACTAGATCAGACTCACAGTTCTTGGGCCCTACGCTAAGAGAAATGGCCAGAATCTGGAAGGCTGGGACCTGTTCCAGAGTCACCCCATCCGTGGTCTAGGCCCTGGGGTCCTCTTACCCCAGAGTTGGCTGGATGGACAGTGTCTCATTTGGGCACTGATCTTGCTAGGACCCGTGGCCCAGGCAGTCTACAAGATGAGTGTCCACAAGGAGCATGAAGACCCTGGACCTATAGCCACAGTTACCCATAACCACGGGGGCACTCTGCCATTCCAGGTCTGGCCAGTTACTACCCAGCTACGTAAGGTGATCACAGATCAGTCTGTAGCCTGGAGAGGCCACTGGCAGGGGCCTCTAGATCCTTCCGTTCTTACCAGAAGTCCTCATGGTAGTGGCTTATGCTGCCCAGTGGAGACCCATCTTTTAGCCATTGGACTAAATGAGGTGGAGGACAGTGGGGCCCGGAGGTCACCCAAGCTGTGCAATTCAGAGCAACTGCACTGCCCAGGGAAGGCCCTAGGGCCTGGTCTTCAGCTGGGGAGAGGAAGTCTGGGGCCCTGCCACAGACACCTGTAAGGAAAGGACACCACACATTAGCCATGCCAGAATACTGGACTCTTACCCCATCCACACATGGCCCATGGTCAAGAAAAAAAAAGCAGTGGGAAAATGGCATGCTACTTGGTGATGATGACAGGCCCACACATGAGAACCAGGGGACAGGGCTCAGTGCCTGGCACTCTTCGCACAGCTATGGCCAGTCGTGAGTGCTCTGCCTGTTCTGGATGTGAGTTCCTTGGCCTCAAAGGGGACAATTGCAGGCAGGACAATGGTCAGAGTTATTGTTGACCTGACCCAGCCCAGTACACAGGGACCATCTAGCTGCTTGGAGTCCAGACCCCCATATTCTAGAGGAGGACCAAGGAGCTGACACTGCATCATTTGGCCTGGTCTCCTCTGCTGGGGGTTTTGCAGGGGCACCACTGGGTTAAGAGAATACATGCTAGGTATGTCAGCCCCTTCCCCAGGGATGGCATAGCTGGTAGCCTGGGTTCTAGGACCTTCTGCTACCCACAGGCAAGCCTAAACTTTCTTACTATTTATTGTGTGAGTGTGTGTGCACACATGTTTCAAGACCCACCTTACCACCTGCACTGGGTTCAGGGCCCAGGGCAGGGGAGGGGTGACCAGAGACCTTTGTACCCATGGCAACTATCCAGACAGAGAATCCAAAGTAAAAGTAGAGGACATAGTACAGAGCCAGCCTGAAGGGCAGAGGTGGAAGTGAAGACAAGCCTGTCCATCCGAGTCACCTACCTGCCATGGCCTCTGGCTGGGGCCTCTTCAGTTCAGGTTGGATTCTGGGGCCACCTCTGCTCCACAGAGCTCCTTAACAGAGAAAATGAGTCCACCAAAGGCTGGGCAAGGTCTGTCTTTGTCCTTGTGGCTGGTTAGACAGGGTGCCTGGAAAGGTCAGAGAATTCTGCCATCCCCAAGAGCAAGTTAAACAGGAACAGGATGAGTTAACCAATAACTGTCAGTCACAGTGGGCACTGCCTCACACAGCTAGAGGTAGAGGAAGGACTTCAAGCTCAGGACCACCTTCGCATATACTGGGCCACCATGAGACCCAGGGGTGCTATGGACATGTACCTGGTGGGACTTCATCTCACAAGGTGGCAGATGGCCTCCTTCCTCGCTGTCCTTGCAGTAGACTGTTGTATCTGGGGTGTACAGCCAGGCCTGATAGTTGTGAGGTGTGAACCAGGTGTCCCTGACATGTGATAAGTCCTGGCTACCTGACTGGCCCAAACCTACTCTTCGATGTGGGGTTTTGTTCTGGGTGCAAGCAAGCATACACAGGTACATGTAGACATATCAGCCTCATGGACACCCCCAGGATTAGCTGGTCTCTGAGGGTACACCAGAGGACCTCTTGAGCACCCTTTCTCTTGTATCTTCCCACCCCAGGTGATTCTTCTGAGCCATTCTCATCCCACAGTGGCAGTGACATATACTTTGTGGCTCAAAAGCTTTGCAGTGACATGGCTGCAAAGAGGTGCCAAGATACTGTACTTTGTTAGTTCAGGGCCCTGGGTTCACCTGTCTGCCCAACAGGGATTTATCAAGCATCTACTCCCTCCCTGCAGAGTGGACACAAGGCAGCAAGGACATGAGATCAAGTGCCGAATCTTGTGCCTAAGCTCCTGAAGACATCTCTGCTCCTGAGACTCTGAGGCTTTGTAGGAAGGAGCATCTTATCCATTGCCCCATTCCTTTTGCATGTGGTGACACAGCCAGGAACCCCATGGTTGGCTGGACAAAATTTCCTCTGGAGATGGTATAACACATTTCCACTGGGGCTAGTAAGAAGATTCCTCTAGAGCCCTTCAGAATGGAGAGTAGTCCCGTGAAATTCCTTGACATAGAATAACCTCCTCACGGGGGCTAAAGAGGATATAATCTCTCATGCACCTGACCCTTCACCACACGACTAGGGGGTGAACAGCCAGCCCAGTAGGTCCTGTGGCATCTCCTACAGTGACCCCTTGACATCCCCATGAAACCCCCAAAAGTCCATTTTAGACCTTCCTGGAAGGCAAGGCCAAAGTGAAAGAATCTGACCCAGGGGAGCAGCAGGTCCCTCTCCCCTCCCCCATTGCACTGGGCTGGGCAGGTCTTGGCACACCCACATCCTCCGTACACACATCCCGCCCTACACGCCTCCTGGTGCCAAGTGACGAGACGAGGCCAAGCCGCACACACTGCCATACTCCTACCAAAATTGGCCACAAGCACACACAATGCACTCCTGCTGCCACTCGCATGCACACACACACACACACACACACACACACACACACACACAAACACATGTGTGCGGGCAAGCATGCAGCCCAAGCACTGTGGCCTCCCTCAGGCCCAGCCCCAAAGACAGATCTGGCCCTGCATGCTTACTCAGCCCAGAGGCAGGGTACCGTCACCTGGTTCCAGCTCTTTCCTCCTGGAAGTCGGTCATTAAGGTCACTCATGTGATGGGAGCAAGGTCTCTCTTCAGATAGGCTGCAAGTAGTGTCCACAGACCCTCAGCTGCTTGTGAGACATAGCCAAGCTCAGAGAAGACCTGGCTTTTGTTGATATGTTCTAATCAGAGCTTTCCCCGTAGCTTCCTGGCGTTGCAGTCACATCCTCTCCTGAGCCTAAACCCCACCCAGGCACCCCCCTTCCCTGGTGGGGCGGGCAGTTGGTGGCTCTCACGACGCCAGCAGCGTCTTCCTGTAACTTTGAGTCACGTGGCCCCTTCCTCTGGGGCTGCCCCAGCCCCCCAACCTTCCTCTCCCTGTGTGCAGTGTGGGGAGGGTTGCTGGGGGCAGAGGTTTGCTGTGATGTGCAGGGGCTCAAGCAAGAGACCTGCAGTCAGAAGCATCTCCCACACAGGGACATCTGGACAGCAGAACCTGCCTTCCCTATGCCCCTAAGGTGCCATGCTCAGAAGTGGAGTCCTGTTTTGTTACCCCCAAAGTGAGCAGCCTCAGTATCTCTGGCCTCTGACCTTCTGGATGAAAAGGATTCAGAAACTCCCAGTCAACAGTGGGGCTCTTGCCTAGGAACATCCCTCACAGAAATGAGCCCTTGTATAGGCTGGGGCAGGGGGCAGAACAAGGTCCCTTTTCCAGGTAAAGAGGTAACACAGGAGGCCACAGGTACTGCCGCTGAGCAGAGTGTGAAGCAGTTGACATCTGTTACCACCACAGATGCCCCACCCAGGCTGATCTGGGCCTCAAGGTCCACTGACAAGTGCCTGGCATTGTCCATAGAATTAGACAAGGGAAAAAAAAAGTCAGTGAAGGTGTCCTCCAGCCTTTGGCCCTGTCCACACTCCTGCAAGGCAAGGACCTCATTTGGGGCTCCCCTCCAGTCTCCCTGCCCCTAGCTGAGCCCACCAAGGAGCACCTCACTACAGTACAGGTTTCCTGCCTCCTTTCCCCAAACACATCCCAGCCTTACTCAACATCCCCCACCCTCACCCTGGTGGACTGGCACTCAGATCCTTCGATGCAGGTGCATCTTGGGCTCAGGGGCAGGAAAAGCTGGCGAGACCCAGCTAGACCTGCACCCCTGCCTTAGTTTCCTCAGTGCTGGCTAAAGCTGGTACTTGATGGTGCCAGTTAGCCCTGGTAAGCACAGAACTGGTCATCAACACCTCAGGGAGGTGGTCAGCAAATTGAGGCACCCAGGCAGACAGGAGAGGAAGCCCCTTACTGGCCATCTCTCAGCTTCTAGCAGAGCCTGCCCCAAGTCAGGGCTCTATGCACCTAGTCTGTGCACCACCCTCTCTCAGCACCTGCTGCCACAGTTGTGACTAGACACCTCTTTCCTTCTCTCCTTCTGCTGATGTGTGCACCTGGAGGCCAGTTCTGTGAAGTACACCTGAAAACACAAATCCCCTGGCGCTTCTGAGGCAACAAAAGGTCCCCACGTCTAAAGCCCTGCCTGCCCCTTGGGTGGATTCCGGGCCCCCTCAGGCCAGCCTGGCCCCCAGTCAAGCCTACGTCCCTCACTCTGCCTGGTTAGCTGGTTGACCCCTCAGAAAGCAGGCTGGCTCCTGGGGCGGGGTGGGATCCTGTGAGTCCCGCCTCACGCTCTTCTCCGAGCCCTGGCACGAAGGTCACAAGGACCAAGCTACCCAACAGCGCCGGGCCGCGGTGGAGGCTGGCGGCGCTCTGGCTTCCGGGACAAGCGGGAGCCTCCCAGGCTGCGCCACTTCCTGTGAGACCGCACCCGTCGTGCCGAGAAGGCTTCAGCGCCGAAGAGTCCACGATGCACTACCCAGGCTTGCTGCAGCTCTGGGGATCAAGTCCTCCACTCACCTTGGTGGGTCTGAGTGCGACAGCTGCTTGCCCGCTGCCAGCCGCGAGGGCGGGGCCCCTTACCTGGCCAAGGTGCGCAAAGGCAGGCGCAGCCCCGCCCCAAGCCAGGGCCTGGGCGGACCCGGTATCCTGCTGGGCACCTGATTGGAGTTCGGGCTCAGCCCTAGGACCCTGGGTTAGGGGCCCAACCAGCCAGACCAGCTGGTCTGAAAGCACAGAGCCTCTGGGCACCTTTTCAGCCTTCCCCTTCCTGTGGGAATCCTGTCCAGACCCCAGCTACCCATTACCTGCTTCCCCCTGCAGCTTCTCCCTGCAGCACAGGAAGGACAAGGTAGCCTGAGGTTCCGCATTCCCAGCTTTGCAACCTCAAGGACTGATTTCTTTCTAGCTCAGGCTGACAGCACACCCCGGAGACCTGGTCTCTACGAACAGAGGCCCAGAAGTCAACAGACAGGTTTAACTTTATTACCGAAAGTTCTGCTCAGTTGGGGGACCCAGGCCTTTCCAGGGACAGCGGGCATACTGGGCTTGGGGTGGGGTGGATGGCACCAGCAAGGCGGAATGGAGTCAAGACTGGACTGAGAAGTCTGGGAGACCTGGGGAACTTGGACCAACTATGCTGTGAGATTGCATGAGAAACCCGCAAAAGCTGTGGGTGCCAGGGTGACCCAGAGGTACAGTCAGGGTGCTATACCTGCCTGAGTCCCAAAGGAGATGGTGCAGGCCCAGCAGGCACAGGAGTGCTTCACACAGATGCTCCACATGCGTGTGGAACTCCTGTGACCCCCCCAATAGACAAGGACCTCCCAGGACACCCCGATATGCACCTGCATGTACATAGACGTCTAGCATCACTCTCATATCCAAGGGTCTCCCAGGACTCCACATAAGCACAGGTCTCCTTGCAGGTCCCACCCCATACATGTGCACACACAGCCAGAAAAAGATGGATGTGTAGGTGGCGGTAGCTCCTGGTGGCCAGTGCCTCTCCACCTGCTTCTGGTCACCTATACATCTGTACTCTTGGAGCTGGACCTGGAAGCAGAGTGGAGTTGTAGGGACCACAGCTCAGGGTCTCCCTTAGGCCCAGGCCTGCTCCAGTCCAGCCCCCTTTGTTCCTACCGGAGCTTCTCCTGCAGCATATCATACTTCTCCTCTAGAACCTTATTTTTCACCGACTGGGGGACATCAGGGACAAACCATGCAGCAATGAGCTTGATGCATAAGGCAACGTGCTGGAGGAAGGGCCAGGGGCCCACAGAGGTCAGGCTGAGACCCTATGGAGGTCTGCACCCAGGGAAGGACTGATGGGAACCGCCTCCACTGGGGACCCCCCGCCCCAGTGCTGCCTACCTCGAAGAGGATGACAAAAGCCAGGCGAATAGCCAGGAGAAACCAGAACTGCTCAGTAAAGTTGTATTCATTACGGGGATCGCGATTGCGATAGTCTCGGTACCTGGGATGGGGAAGTACAAGGTCAGGGGTCAGGAACTCAGAGAGCAGCATGCACAGGGTAGAGTGTTCCGAACCTGCACTCAGTCACATTTCCTGAGGCCTGTATCTTCTTGGGGTCCTGGAAGTCCTTTGTGAAGAAGACTGAAAGGCTGTGGTTGACATAGCCAGTGAGGCAGCTGGGGAGGAGAGAAAAGGGTGAACACACAAGTCCCTCAGCCTTAATGATATATCTCCTGGGGTAGTTGGGATGGGCCAAACCCCAGATGGCCTCCTCAGTTTCCCCAACTCATGGCCACTGGGGCCTAGGGAAACCTGCAGGGCGTCAGGGTGCCACTGGCTGCCGGGCTAAGGGGCACATTTCTGGGCTGTAACACAGTGGTCCTAGGGAGCCCAAGAAACTGGCTGTGGCTCTGCTCTGCCCACCTCCCTGGTGCCAGAAGCAAAGCATGCTCAAAGGATCCGACTTAGGAGGGCAACCATTCTGGTTGAGTTTCAGTCTCCAGTGGAGTCCACTTGGCTATACTGGGCTCTGACCAGGTTCTGTGGGTCAGAAGGGCAGGGCAGGAAGTGCTCCCAGCTGCTCTCAGGAGAGAGGGCCTGGGATCCTGGGCCCTAGCTGTAGATAGCTTCTCAGGGGTCTTACTCGACTTTCTGGGAGGGCTCCTTTCGGCATGGGCTGTCACGGTACTTGTAGATCATGCGGGGGATGAACTCAGACGTGAAGGCAATGACCATCCCATTGGCAATGACTGCCAGCACACCGATGGTCTCCAGTACCTGCAGCCATGTTCCTGGGCCAAAACAGTGGGGAAATGGGTATAGCCTCTCAAACCCAGATTGACAGGTACCCCCAAGGCTGGCTGTGGCTCTCCTGTCTCAGCCCACAGTACCGTGTTGCACCCATGGGAGGTGAATTCTGCACTATGAAATACCCAGCCAAGCCAAGCATGGCAGGCACTCAGCCTTCCTGTGCCACCCCTCCACCCTGACATGGACTGGTTAAGTTCCCATCCTCCATATTCTTGAACTCTGAGGGCCACCACCAATCTGTTCCATCCCTGGGTCTAACCCAGGGTGGGACCCCTAAACTTGGGCCCAAGGCTGGTTCCTTCCCAAGACCTCTCCCTCTTCTGACACTGAACTCTTCTGTTCCCAAACCATCTCAAGGTTTCAGTCTAGGTGCCTGAGGCCTACTCCCAGTTCCTGCCCCCAACCACAGGAACCTCCCCACACCCTCAGAGGCCAGGTCCTCTGCCTGGCCACCCTGAGACTGCCCACCCTTCAACCAGATCTTGGTGGCTCTCAGGAGGGCCTGTAAGGGGCACCCACCCTGCCTTTTCCTGGGATAGAGCCCATAGGCTAAACTGGACTGGGGTACAGGGTCCTGTCAGTGTCCCTCCCAGGCCCCTGACCACTGCTTCTTCGAGCCCTGACCGATGTCTTTGGCCTTGCGAGGCACCAGCCGCCGCTGCAGCTGCACCATCTTGATGGCGTCCAGACGGATTTCTACCACGTTGCTGAAGAGTGCAAGCAGTGGCGCCAGGGGGAAGGCAGCCACAAAGATGGTGGTGAAGCCATACTGGATCACTGTGGTGGATGTGTCTGTCACCCTGGGCTCCAGGGACTGCCTGCCCAGAGCCAGCCCCTACCCAACCACACGCACTCATCTCCATGAACTCATCGAACAGGCTGAAGGTGGTGACTGGGTTCAGGCAGTAGTTGTACTGCCAGTCCCGGAGCTCGGGGTTGCTGGCCCAGCAGGCTCGAAGCATGCGATACTTATAGGTAAGCCACCTATGGGCAAGGAAAATGGTGAGCATAGGTAAAGGGGCAAGGGACAGAGCCGGGAGCAGGTGGGTGTGGGATGCTCACGGGTGCAGGTACTCCATGCAGTTGCTGAGTGTTTGCTTCAGGCCCATGATGATGGCCATCTGCACAAACAGGTCCATCATACAGCCGCTGAGGTGGCACTGTGGGGAGGGAGGGTCAGCGAGGAGGCTAGGAGAGCACTCAGGCACAAGGCAGCAAGTCTCAACACAGACTAACCTCCTCCAGCTTCCACAGCCCGGCCAGGCGCGTGGATTTCCCAGGGTGACCGTTGATCCTAGGTGGGAAACAGGCCTGAAGGGGGAGGGCTGTGTCCTGCCCTGCAGACAGCATTACAACAGCCAGGGAGGGTGGGGAACAGGAAAGAAACAGGGCCAGCAGGGGCAGCAGCCCACACCTGATACACCCACTCCCAAGACTTGTGTGCTATGTGGACAGCTCAGCCTCCACTCATGGCTGCTGCACAAGGTCAGCTGGGCCTGTCCTGAGCTCCTCTCCATGCACACACATATTTTTTTAAATTTTTATTTATTTATTTGTGTGTGTATGTGTGTGTGTGTGGCCAGCTCAGCCCACCAGGGGGCGGGGCTGGCTGGCACATGGTGCTGGGGGATTGAACTGCGGTCCCTGTGCTTTGCCAAGCCTGTTCTAAGTAGGCACTTCAGACCACGGAGCCATCTCACCAGCCCACACACATATTTTTTGTATAAAATTTTGTGTACAGGGGTGCTGGGGAGATAGCTCAGAGGAATAAGTGCTTGCCTCGTAAGCAAAAGGGCCTGAGTTCAATCCCTGGTTTCACCAAAAAATAAAAATAAAATTTTGTGTACAGGGCCAGTGAGATAGCTCAGCAGACTAAGTGCCTGCCTAGGCAAACACAGGGACCAGTTCAGTCCCCAGCACCACATGCTATGCCAGCCCCGCCCCTGGTGCACTGAACCGAGTCTGGGCATGGTGGTGAACACCTATAATTCCAGCGCAAGGGAGGCTGAAAACAGGAGGATCACTATGAGTCTGAGCTGCATAGTGAGACCCTGTACTAAATATACTTTTAAAAATTGTGTATGTTTTCCATACGTGACAGAAAATCTAAACTATGTGATCCAGATGTGGTGGCACACTCTTGTATTCCCAGCCACTTGGGAAGGTTGAGGCAGGAGGGTCAGAAGTTCAGCAATTTGTCAAGACCCTGTGTTAAAATATAAAACAGCTGGAGGTATAGTTCAGTGGGGGAGCACTTGGTTAGCACATGCAAAGACCCCGGTATGGCAAATATGGGCATATGATACATATAAAAATACATGTACACAATATCTATAAACTATCTTTTCTTTTTTTTTTTTTTTTTTTTGCGGAACCAGGGATTGAACTCAGGCCCTTGCACTTGCCAGGCAAGTATTTATTCTACTGAGCCATCTCCCTGGCCCCTCCATAAACTATCTTAAACACAGATACATGTTCAGGGGTGAAATCCTAGAAGCATCCCCATTATGGTCATCATAATTGGTTGGGGGCAGTGCTGGAAAGAAAACCTAGGGCCTTTGCATTGAGCTACATCCCCAGCCCTTTTTCTTTTCTTTACTTTTTTTTCTTTCTTTTCTTTTTTCTTTCTTTCTTTTTTTTTTTTTTCTTTTTTTAACTTTTGCTATATAGTCTTGCTAAGTCACTACATTTCCCAGGTTGGGTTCAAACTTGTGATCCTCTGGCCTCAGCCTCCCAGTGTCCTTGAATCTCAAGTATGTGTCACCATGCCCAGCTTTATGATACCAATTAATATACCATATTAGAATTACTGGCAAATAGACAAGAGGAATATAAGGTATAGCTAACATGTATATGCAAAGACAAACATGACTGTTTTAGGAAATATGTTATACAACTGGAAATAAATCAACTAAAAGACAGTGGATAAATCCCAACATGCACTCAGGGCAACTGCAAAGCTGGTACCAAGCAGAGCTGGCTTCTCAGTGTGTAGCCAAAACCCTGGGGATGACACTTGAGAAAATTCCAGTTACAGACATGAGCAAGTATTGTGAAATGAGCAGAGGGACTGTGGGATCCATAGGAAGAAAACATGAGCCTGACTGAAGAACACAGAAAAACTGGACAGGAAGGAAAGCCCAGGGATTACTTGAGGTAGAAAGGATAAGGGGCCCCAAGATGAGGGCATGCTGCTCCTCCACCCCATGACTGTGTCTCTCTCCCTGCAAGGGGCTCCTCCAACAGTGGTACATAGACTGCTGAGCCAGCTGACATTAATGCAAAGGGCTCTCAGGGGACGCAGCCTAGCATTTCTGGGTACAGACAGGAGGGCACCAATGCAGACCTCCCTGGAAGTTTCTCATAAAAGCAGCATGTGAATACTTGCAGGACTGATCTGCTTTGGCCAGAAGCTGTCTGCAACACACAAGGACTCTGAAAAACCACCAGGTTACAGGGGAGTTTCCTTTGGGGCTCTATGATGGGTTTCTGTGTGTGCTGAGCAGGGCTTATCTTTACATGTGAAAGAACAGTCTGGGCACTGGGAGGAGACACAAGCCAGAGGGAGCTGCAGGGGCGGCGGGGGAGAACAGCACACCTGCCCAGGATGAAGGCGATGTAGATGAGGGAGGAGAAGTGGGCAAAGAACTGCAGCGTGAAGAACTTAACGGTGAACTTGCTCTCACGCTCCGAAAAGGTCCTGGGCTTCTCTGGAATGACAAGCGGTTGTCATTGCCTGGCCTAGCCTTCTTTAGACCATTGTGGCAGGAACCCCAGCTTGTCTCTGATGGTGGCTCCAAGAACCTCAGCCATGACCACCCTCCAAGCCCAGAGAGGGAAGGGCCATCCTCTCACCAAAATCACAAAGCTTCAAGGCCACATACTTGTTGACCTGTGGGCAACGAACATTAAGTGGGCTCATCTGGGCCACAATGACCCCCCAACTTCCTTGCCTCATCCCCACCTTGGTCATGATGACAATAGTCAAGTAGTGTACCAGGGCCCCAGTCACCACTACAGCTGTGGTCACCTCCAGGAAGGGCCAGGCCAAGTTGCTGAAGAGGGCAGCAGCCAGCACTCGGTAGACCACTAGCACATGTGCCATGCCAATCATGAGACAAATCTGCAGAGGGGGAGGCTGGTGGGCAGGCACGAAGGGCTGCAAGGACAGATGTCCAGCCACCTGCACCCCTGGGTACCATGAGCAGAGACAGGACCAGGATGATGGTGCTGCGCAGGTAGGAGTGCTGGTGTGGCTGGAGCTTGTAGTTAGGGCAGTTGATGAGCTCGAGCGCCATTTCCTCCTGGGGAGGTCACCAGACAGGCTTCAGACATGGGGACACATGCCTCAGACACAAGAACGCATGCCTCAGACCCAGGGGCACATGCCTCAGACACAAGAACACGTACCTCAGTCGCAGGGACACCAGATAGAGACACATACCTCATGAGGACAGTCCTCAGACATAAGGACACGTGTCTCAGACCTGGGGACATGTGACTCTGACATGGAGACATATTCCCTCAGACATGCACATATCCCTCAGACACGAGGCCACTGAGAGCTGATAGCTGTGGCCACTGGCCCTGCCTCACCTGGTCCTCATCCCACCCATACAGGTCCCAGTGCAGGACGACACGGGCTCGCTGCCGCTTCCAGATCTCCAGAAACACAGTGGCTGCAGTGAGGTGTGGAAGGTGTCATGGCAGCAGGGGTGGGGTGGGGCTGGAGCTCAGGCACCCATCCCACAGCTCTCCAGGGATCTGCAGCAACTCACCCCACAGAGCCATGAAGATGGCAAACAGCACAGTGCCCTCATTGTCAAAGAGGTGAGTGACCTAGAGAGAGGGGTAAGGCAGGCTTCAGGTCCGTCTCTACCCATATCCCCCAGAGCTACTTCTGGGGATGGACCATTCAGCCCTTCCCATGCCCTGGGGACCCTAGTGGCAAACCTTGGCAAAAATGCAGGTGGCTGAGAGCGGCTGGTATTTGTTGCTGTCACCAATTGGACACATGAAGATGTCGTGGGCCTCACAGATCTCCTTGCTGGGGGCAGGGACAAGTATGGCATGGGCTCTTCCCAGACACCCTAACATGGCTCTCCCCTGGGCCTGCCCCCCAAGGCCTGGGTCCCAGCCCACCTGATCTGGCTGGAGTTGAACAGGGCAAACCCACTCAGAAAGACGATGAGGCCCACCACAGCAGCAGGCACCAGCATGTAGGTATACCAGCCCAGCCAGGCGAAGTACAGTGCCACCTTCACACCAAAGTAGTCCCTAGGGGCAAGCTGGCCCATCAGGGTCACACTCCACCAGGGCCAATGCCACTTGAGTGACAGCCTGGCTGAGGGCGGCCACATGAAGAAAGGGAGCGTGTGCAGGGCCAACATCCAAATGTGTGAGTGTGTAGCAAGAAGGGGCTTGCATAGGCACCAGTGTGCCCCTGGGAAGACAGGTGCACCCATGGAGGGGACAGGTGTGCCAGAGACAGGTGGGCACTCCTTGAGAATACATATATGTCTATGGGTAGACAGACAGATGTGGCATGGGAGACAGAGGTGCCCATGGCACTGTGGGTATCTCTGGCAGGCATGGAGGGTCTTTGGGGTGGCACTGTTACCTGATAGCATCAATTGGCTGCTCCTGGAACAGGTTTCTCCACCGGGCCCACTTCATCTTCAGGTCTTCCTTCCCCTGGGTGGATGACAGATTGTGAACACTTCCTGCTTAGAGTCCATCCCTCAGCCCCCTCCCAGCTTGCTCATCCCTCACCCTGTGCAGGGGAAACTTGTCCTCAAAGACCCCATCCTTCACCAAGTCCTCGAAGGTATCTGAGGGTGATGAAAATTCATGTCAGAGAGCAATGTGGGGCACAGGTGGTGTGGATCAGTACCCTCCTGGCCATCTGCCCATTTGTCCTCACCACCAGCTGCCGTCTTGCTGTTCAGGATGAAGTTCACAATCCGGATTCTGAAACCCAAAAGCAAGGTAAAGACAGCCCTGCGAGACTTCAGGGAGCTCAAGTGTCCTGGGCTCTTTCCCCATTCTCCCATCCTCCACCTCACCTGTCCAGTCCCAACCATGGCTTCTAGAATGGGCAGTGCCAGGTTCCTCTTTTCTCCCTGCACCTCATATACAGCCCTCCCATTGGCCTTGCTGAGACCCCCCAAGTGCACCCCCTTGTCAGTTCTGCATATGTCCCCAGCATAAATGCTCTCTGCACCCTCCAACAGCCACCTGGAGATACGCTTAGAGCAGTGAGTGTCCTGTGCCAGTGTCCTATGGACAGACCCAGTTGATCTCTGAGGGAAGGATGAGGGGAGGAGGCATGCTGGGAGAGTCAGGTGCTCAGTGACCTTGGAGAGGGATGTCTGGGACAGATGTGAAGGGAGAGGCCATCTCTCCAGCTGGAAAAGAGGGTCTGGGACACAGAAGTCTCAGAGTCCAGCAAGGACAGCTGGGTCTAGGGCTTTCCAGCCCTGCCCACTTTTTCAGTTAACTTGAGTCCTGTTCCTCCCCAGGGAGCACAGAATGCTCCAAGCAGAAAGGACCATGTTTATCCCTTATCAAGGGCTTGGACAGCAAGGCAAAGCCCTGCTCACATAAGGTGGTGGCTGTCCTACTGTAAGTGGCTCAGCCCTCCATACTCTGCCTTGACCAGATGGGCTGAGCACAGCCTCTCACCTCGTGGTAGCTGGGACAGTGGTTGGTCTGGCCGGTTCCATGCCAGGGGCAGAACCTTCTGGCTCCATGAGCAGGGTGCGGTACAAATCGAAGATCCTATTGTCAGCTCGGATCCCAAAGAACACCTGATTCTGGTCCTCTCTCATCTGGGAGTGAGGCCAGATAGGACTGTGTCTTCTACTAGGAACCCTTTTACTCACACCCTGGCCTACTCCTGCCCCCTGGCAGGTACCACCCACCGTGATATGGAAGCCTTTGCTCTTGAGCTCTTCCAGGAACTGCTTCCGCCGTTCAGCCTGCCTGACTCTCAACTCTGTATAGTACTTGGCCACAAGGACGAAGTCCCACTGCTCAGCGGGTTCTGCCTAGGAGGGAACATGGAGTGGGCCAGGCAAAGCTCCAGGAGGAGGGAAATGGGGAATGGGCCAGACCACAGGGAGAGGGTCACTGAATGAGGCTGGGGCCAAGGGAGGGGTTTTGAGATGAGGGTAGGCAGAGACCTGTGCAGGAGCAAGTATGGGGTGAGAAGTGGAAGAGGATTGGGCCAAGCCCCAGGAAGTCCAAGTAGACCCACCTCACAAGTGCTGATCTCCATCAGTGGGAAGCTGTCTCCTGTTCCCACCAGGACCTGGAAGCTCTCCTCAGCCTGAAGGGCAGAGAAGGGTCTAGCAGGCGGGAGAGTAATTGGACCCCCCCCCCACTGGCTTCTTCTTGCAGCCGCTGGACAGGTGCTTGGACCCCCAAAGTTGGGAAGAGTGGCCAGAAACAAGTCAGAAAATGGGTAAATCCAAGTGCAGGCAAGGCTAAGGATGACTGCAAAGCAGATGACAGGCCAGAAAGTGACAGCAGCCACCCATGTAACCAACCAGTCCATGTGGAAAGCCACAGGAGGGTCTGGCTGTCAGGACAGACAGCCCCTTTCTACACCATGTAGAGGTGCAGCCAGGTTTCACAAAAGGGGAGCTGGTGAGCAGTGGATGGATGAAGAGACTCGGACCTGGGGTGTCTGGAAAGTGCAGGTCTGACCCTCTGCTCCTGCACTGCTGGTGGTACACCAAGTGGAACACAAATCTGGGGAGCATTTTGCACTCTTAGGCTTCTAGACCTCCACTTGGCTGAGCAGACATATGCTCAGATATTCACATCAGCAGTGGAAATACCAAAGCCAGGAAGAGGGCTGAGCCCAGGAAGTCAGCGCAGGCTGACCAGAGGAGGCATGTGGGGCATGTCCCTGTCCCTGAGGGCCCCAAGCTAGCAGCAAGCCGTCAGTGGGTGCTGCTGATAACATATGAATCTCAGATCCAGCCAGTTCTCCCTTCCACTGTGGGCTAGACTTTGACCAGGAGACATCGTCACTTCACAGAGGAGACCACAGCAGACACTCATCTAGATCGGGTGGGCCAAAGTCGCCTGCAGTGTCATTAGGCAGCCCCGATAGGATGCTGGAGACAGGACATTTCCCCCTCAATCAGTCCTCCTCTCACAGCAAGACCTCAGAAAGGTGAGAGGGACACATCAGGATATCTAACTCAGAGTCAAGTCACTGGGAGGGGGACAGAGGGCCCTTACAAGTCAGGGAAAGGACACAAGCAGGAGCAACGCTGGCAACTGGGGTCAAGCTGGGTGATGTGAATATCTTCATGAGGTGGCATCAGAGGAAACTGGTAGAGGCCGAGGGGATGCCACACAACCTTCCTGACTCTGCCAAAGTTAAAACCATCCCAGATAATCATTCTTTTTTTTTTTTCCAGAAAAGACTCAGGTACTTACTTTCTGCCTAGTACACCTCTTTTTCTTTTTTCTTTTTTGTGGAACCGGGGATTGAACTCAGATCCTTGCGTTTGCCAGTCAAGCACTTATCCTATTGAGCCATCTCCCCGGCCCCAACACCTCTGATATTGGGAAAAGTAGGTAATAAGTAAAGCTTTGCTTTTCAGAAATACATGTGGATGGGACAGAGCTGCAAAACAATGGAGTCAGGACAGGGCACTGCAGTCCCAGTGGGCGCTGGGTGCCATGCTTGGCATCTTTGTGGTATTGGGTGCTCTGCAAGAAGGATAGGCAGGATGGACCACCAGGAAGGTTTTTTCAATCATAGTGGGGGCAGCTGGGCAGGCTCGGAGGACAGGGAGGCCCAGGACAGGGGCGGATTGGGGCAGCATCTCTGGCTGGGGAAACAGAACCCACCCATGCTCCACATGGATGAGGGCCCAGCCTGAGTCCTGGCTGGCAGCTTTGGGGTCAGCAGAGGGACCCTGTGTGCTGGTATCAGAGAGGACAGGCCAATCCAGGTACCCTGCCTCTTCTCACTATGACAACTGTGCCCAAAGTGAAGCTGTTCTCCAACCACGTAGTGGCCCAGCCCCGAGCCATATCACCCTACAGCCAGGACTTGGCTCTTGCTGGTTCCTCACCTGCATTTCCTGTCCTTCTCAACCACATTCCTGCCACCTCCTCCAGAAAGGCTCACTTGACTGCTCCAGCCAGTTGGCCCTCCAGAGCTGCCAGTAATATACAGGCTACTAGTCACATTTAATTTTTTTTTTTTTTTCGGAGCCAGGGATTGAACTCAGGCCCTTGTGTTTGCCAGGCAAGTACTTATTCAACTGAGCTATTTCCCCAGCCCCACATTTAAATTTCAGATAAACAGCAGATGCCTTTTCTTTTTCTTTTATTCAGTACTAGGGATTGAACCTAGGGTCTTCAAGCTAAGTTACATGCCCAACACTTTCTACGTTTCACTTGGAGACAGGTTTTCAATGTGAACTTTCCATCCTCCTGCCTCAGGCTCCCAGTGCACTGGGATTATAGCCATATACTACCACTCCTGGCTCAGCAGATGCCTTTCAGTGTAGACAGCCCAGTGATTTCCTGGGACATACTTATACAGAAACAATGCTTATTTATCTGGAAATCTGTTCGTGGATTTGCACTGGTGAGTCTCACCCCTACTCCACTCTCTGCACTTGCACTGGCTCTAGACAGCTCTGTATCTGCCTAACTTCTGGCTTGCCTGGTCATGGAAGCTGCAAAACAACACAATGGGCAGCAGGGTGATGTGAATATGCTCTGCGTGTTCCTGCAATCACACTGCACCATCCTGGTGTCCCCTCCCAGAGTGCAGCTCCCTCTGCATCTGCATCCCCTCCAGACTCCTGGGCTCCCAGGCTCCCTTCCAGCACACAAACATCTGTACCCCAGTGTGACCTACAGTAACTAAAACTTCCCTTGTCCTGTATTGGGAAAAATCTGGACTCAGATAGGTATGGGCAGGGGCAGCATCACTTCATGTTCTTAGAATAGAAGGCAAAGTCTCAACCAGACAGGACAGTGGCTGGGGGCTCTGGTGCCACCAGCCTGCCCACCAAGGGGCCCAGCAGGTGTCATGAGGGCTGAGTTGGTAAGTTAAATGGATTATCATGAGTTTAACCTCAGATCTGAGAGGGAGCCCTCCATGTCCAGGACTCACTGACTTCAGCCCAAAACTACAGAACATGCAGGACGAGCAAAGGAGAAACAGACCAGACTGGAGTCTGAGGACCAGGCCAAGAAGGAGCCTGCGACAGGGCACAACCTGAGGCCACACTGACAGGCTATCCCTGACAGCCCCAGAAACCAGGCACAGAGAGCCCTCCCCACAAAGCTACAAAGGCCCTGTGCAGCTTGGGATGAAACAGATGCATTAACCTCCCCTGGCCCTGGGATGCACCCTGTGCCAGTGTGACAGATCGCACCCAGGGGCACCTGGCAGGCTCTGATGTAGACCCTGAACAAGGGGCCTTCCAGATAAAGCCATGCAGACCCACCCAATGGTAGCCACTATCAGTCAGGTGAGAGGTCCCCTGGCTGGTCCTGGTCCCCTGACAAGTGCCAGGTCCCTGACTCTGCTGCCCATTAGCTCCACCTCCAGGGTCAGCCTGTGTATCTGTCCCTCTGTCCATCTGTCTTCTAGTGCCACACACTGTCCCTGGCCTGCTCTGGTGGCTGCTCAGTGGTGCTCTAAGCTTTCACCGATAGTGTTGAGCCACCCACCTGAGGCTGCCCCTCCTCTAGCCAGAGACCATGCTGGGTAGCTCAAGTGTGGGTCCAAGGTCCCATATTTTCACCCCCTGGGCTCTACCTCCAGGAAGCCATGTGAGTCGCATCACAGAAGCCCACACTCAGCCAGGGGCCCTGGAATGTTAGCCGTGAACCTGCCATCAGCAGACCTGAGCAGCCAGCCAGCCCTGGCTCTGATGCTCACAGCCCTCTCATGAGCCTTAGCTTCCTTGCCTATAGAATGGGGTGATACCACCTCTACTATAGAGTCACCTAATGACATGCACAGGCAGGAAGAGGGCAAACAAGGCCACACATCTGGCCACAAGGGATTCCTGTGACATCCCTTCCTGCACCCCAACTTCACAGGCTCCTGGTGCCCCACTCTGGTGTACCAGGGGCTGAGTCCCAGGGGTGCAACCTCTGGAGCCCAGGGACCAGCAGCTCCCAGCTACCCCATCACAGAGCACCAGTGCTGGGGGTTCTGCTCCTACCCTTCAGCCAGCCTTCAGGTTAGGGAGGGCAGAACGACCAGTTGTGCAAATCTGACTCCCCCCCCCCCGGCTGGCTCGCATGGTAAACATGCGTGTGCCCCCAGATACACACTTGTGGCCTCGGCCCCATTCACTAGGTCACAGCCATCCCTGGAGCATTCTGCAGAGTCCTAGCCCACAGACAGGGCTCTGTACCCCCGTGCTACACAGGCAGCATCCACCCTCTGTCCACCCTCCCCACGCGTCCTGCCTCCTTCTGTGTCAGCACCACCATGAATTCATCCTTCCCTGAATCTTCCCAGATGATGAGGGACCTTGCTCTACACCTCCTGAGTGGACACCAAGGACTGGCAGGGTGGTGGTTCCTGGAAGGGAGGTGGCCCAGAGCTCAGCCACCTCTTGTAGGGCAAGAGGTTGGCAGTAGGCAAGAATGGGAGCAGTATTCCTGGGAGGAAGAATGTGTGTGGGCTGCTCCTGAGAGACAGGGACAGTTGGTGCTTGGGACTCAGTCCCAGTTGGTAAGTATGACTGCTAGCAACCAGCCTCTCAGCACCTCTGAGGACTTGAGAGTTACTACTCTCAGGGATACAGTCCTCACAACTCTTAGGAACTCAGTCTCAGCACCTTTGGGAACTTGGCAGTTACTACTCCTAGTGACTCAGTCTTTAGCACTTCAGCTTTGCAGAAACATACAGAGCAAAAAGGGAGTTGACCAGCAGCCACATCAGGTAAAGTTGCTCAGGCAGCCAGGGAGCTTCAACTTCAGCACAAGCCATGAGGAGCCAGGAAAGGAACCTTGCAGGAAACACCTGTCCTCTGCATTTCTAAGGACTGACATAGTTACTTGGCCAGCCAGCCAGTCTCTCCTGCTCCCATGGGAGGCAAAGGCTGATGGGGGGACCCTGGCGCCAGGCCAAGCAAGTAGATACCAGAGCTGGCCGTGGGTAGAGGTGAAGGGAGTGGCCAGCCCACACCTGGAGGCTGGGGCTGAGTGGGGCTAGTTTCACTCTCCTCTCTAGGCATCCTCCTGGGCTACCAGGTGCTGGCCCCCACCCAGGTGACTTCCTCACTGGCAGGGAGGAGAATACTGATCTTCCTGGTGGTCTCCTGTTTCATCCAGATTTTTGTTCTGCATGGCAGACTCAGCATCCTGCAGTCTGAGGAGGGCCTCCTACCCAAGTGGCTGAACACTTGATACCAACACCTGGAGCCCACAGCCCCTGAGAGCCCAAGCAGGTGACGACAGCAGGCTGGCCCCAGCCACCTGGAGCACTCATGCAGGTGCCCCCAGCCCACCCCGGAGCCCAGCCTTGAGGTCTCCAGAATCCCAGGAAGAAGGAAAAGCCATCCTCCTGGGTACTGCCCTGGTTCCCTCATCTTGCCTGGCAAACTGCCGGGCCCTCCAGGCTGTATCCTGAAGGCCGGGGCGGCACAGGCCAGGCTCACCTGCATGCTGGCACCGGCTGCCCACCAATCAATCAAGGAGTCCACTGAGGCTGCTGCGGTTCCGGCCGGCCTCTGAGAGCGGCTGCCAGGTGCAGGAGGCGCGACTTCCGCCTAAAGCCCGCCTTCCCTCCCATTGCCGCACCCAGGTGTCCTGGGGAGGAGCCAGAAGCTGCAGCACGGCTCCCTCGGGGAGGGGACAGGTGGGACCCAGACATGCTGTAAGCCAAAGCAACGACATCCCAGTCCAGGGGAGGGGAGAGGGTAGGGGGTCTCAGCAACCCACCATGGTGGCATCTCCATCCTCTTGGAGCCTAGTCCAGGCCCGTAAACCTCCTCTTCATTCCCAGAGGGACAACAGGCAGGAGGAAAGAAAAAGTACTTTCATGGCCCCAGCCCAGTGACAGAGAGGAAAGAATCTTGGGATGGTGAAGGCATCCGTATCCCAGGCTAGTAGCCTGCTCAGACCAGTTTCTGCTAACAGGGGGCTGAGAAAGCATGGGGCCCCCTGGAAAAGAGGACAGTGCCCAAAGGGTGTGAGCAACAAGACATTGGTGTGGTGAGGGTTTCTAAGGGGGTGGGGGTATAGAGGGACCACCCAAGTGGTGAGGAGGTTTATTGGACAAAGATATGCTGGCTCACTCAGGGTAATGAAGGGCTGGGCCTTGGCCGGACACAAACACCAAAAAGCAACACTTGGCCACAGGGATAGGAGCACACCTGGTGTGGAAGGGGTGCATTGCACCCAGATGTGAGGGGCTTGCTGTGCCCAGGTGTGAGTGCCTGGGGCACACAGGCCAAGGTTCACTGTCAGGTGGCATCCCCTCTCCCAGGTTCAGGCCTTGGCCTCTGCATATCCACCTGCGCTCCCAGAGGGTACCACATGCCCCTTGGTAGTTGGGAAATGGTAAGGTGGCAAAGGTAGAGAAGGGAACCAGATGACACAGCTCTATGAAAGGAGCCCAGGTAGAACTCAAATGGGAAGCACACTCATGTATTCCACCTGCAAGGAAGTCTGGAGTTGGTAATCCAGGATTTGTATAGCCAAAGGTGGGGGGGGGGGGGTACTGGGGACTGTAGTCAGGGAGCAGTGAGTTACATACCTAGCCTTTTTTTTTTTTTTTAAGACAAGGTCTCACTAAATTGCTAAATTGCCCAGGTTGGCCTTGAACTTTCAACCCTCCCACCTAGCCTCCTAAGTAGCTGGGGTTGTAGGTGTGTGCCACCAAGCTCTCCTCAGAGTCCCTTTCAACACCTAGGCTCACCATGGTCTAAGATGGCTGTGCAAACTCCAGGCATCACATCCACATTCTGAGCAGCAGGAGGGGAGAGGTAAAGAGCGCCTCACCCTTCACACAGCTAACTACGTGGCCACACTTTATTGTGAGGGCTCCTGGGGAGTAAGGAAGAGAATGAAGAACTTGAAGCACTTCACCCTCTGCAGCACTGAGCAAGCACTGCCGAGCAGAGGTGTAACCCAGACTCGGGCCAGCGTTCCCCGCCTGGTCCTGTGCTCCCCACCACAGAGAGCCCTCGCCTGCAGTCCAACCTGCGGGGAAGCTGCGTTCATATTTCTGTTGTGCTCAGCCTGCCAGCTCATCCCAGCCTCCCCTCCTAGAGGCAGCTCAGCCACCCTTTGAGCGCCTGAACTTTTCAATGACTTTGCTGGGCTTTCCCATTCTGTGCCTCAGAAGCCCAGACAGATCCCTCCCTCTTCATTCCCATTCACCAAGGGTAGCACTGCCCACAAGCAGGAGGCTGCATGCAGGCCTCTCCCACTGCCATTGTTCTCATACTCAGAGAAGGGTACAAAGTCTGCTTGGGCCTCCTGAGCCATGCGGGGAGCAAACAAGCCCGCAAGAAGCATCACAGCCCTAACACTGCTGATACTTCAGTCCATTTATCTCATCTTTTGTAAACTGTCCTAAGAGGGGAAAATCCAAAATAATAAAAACATGTATATATTTTTTACATCCAGAACTATAAACCACTGGGATCTTCAAGAAGTAGGGCTGTGGCACACATCTCTAATCTCAGCACTCAGAAGGCTAAGGCAGGAGGATTGCTGCAAATTTGAGGCCAGTTTGGGCTACACAGTGAGACCTTGTCTTAAAAAAAAAATCTTCAAGAGTAAGAAAATGTCTGAACAAATGGTATATTACCAGTCATCAGAAAATAAACTTGCAGGAGGCCTGGGAGATATAGCTCAGTGACTTAAGTGCCTGCCTAGCAAATGAAAGGTTCTGAGTTTAATCCCCAGTACCGGGGGAAAAAAAAAAAAAAAGTAAGCTTTCAGGACTAGGGAAGTAGCTCAGTGCTAAACGTTTGTCTGACATGCACAAAGCATATGTGCATATATGCTTTCGAAAAGCTTATAAGAAAGGAGGAAGGTGGCTGGAGACATGGCTCAGTGAAATAAGCATTTCCCTGGCAAGTGCAAGGGCCTGAGTTCAATCCCCAGTTCCACCAAAAAAAAAAAAAAGAGAAAAGAGGAAAGGGCTGGAGACTATGGATCAGCAGCACGGTGTTTGGGACAAAACAAATAAATTACAAATATGTACTGTACAAGTTTCTAAAACTTCAATTAAGTTAAAATACATTAAAATACTGGAAAAGTAAATTTATATTTGCATATAACTTTGCTTAACAGTATGAATTATGGGCTGGTAGAATGTTTTTCTCCTTACATTACTTTGCTTTTAAATTTACCACAAACATGTACCACCGTTATGAGCTCTATTGTGGACTTTTATTATCGTATTACTGTATTTAGGCCTCATCCCCAGGTTCAGTTCTAGGGTTCGACCTCTCTTCTGGGGCATGGCTGGGAGGAAGTGATGGTGTTCTGGCCCGGCCATGGGCCCAGCTGCCCTGCCCTTCATAGTCAGGGACCTGGGCCTCCTGCTCTTTTCTAGTGGACCCTGGACCCTTTCCTTTCTCCTCTGCCAAGAACAGGGAAACAAATGGCTATGCTCATTTCTACTAGCTAGGGGCTGGTGTCCATCCCGTGAGCTCAATGTGATGAGATCGACAGGGTCCAAAGGTGCCCTGGAACTCGTAGGCAGCAGTGGCGCCACCTGCACTACCTTCATCCTACTCTCCGCCCTTTGGCCAGGTCTAGCCAACCCTAGTGGTGGCACGACACAGGAGGGCCCCTGGCAGAGCAGCACTCCAGGTGAGTCGGGTGGGTGCCCCAAGAACCTGCCTTCTGTCCTTCTGGCTGTCCAGGGTGAAAGGAGCTCTCACTGCAGGTGGGTGGGGGTGGGGTCTCCCAGCAGGGACACTCCTGCTTGCAGGCTCATGAAGAGAACCCCTGGGGCGGCTCCCCTTCAGAGTGCCACACAGGTTCTCCTCTAGTGTCAACTATAGTTTTACAAAGCATTTCGGGCACTATTCCACTCTTCTCCGCCAGGAATAGCACCCAGGCCACGCCCACCGTCCCCAGCCTGCCGCTGTACTCAGCTAGGACTGGTCACTTCCTTTTACCCTGCCTGTCTGGGTCCCCTTCCCGGGAGCCCCACGTCCTTCCCCCTCCCTTACCACTCACAGCCCCAGCCTGGTGGGCCACTCTACTCACACATGGGAAGTCTCTTAAGACCATGTGGGCAAGGCAGTGGCGGCAAGAGCTGAGCTGAGAGTCGCCCACATTTCTGTGCCTCAATTTCTGAGCTCTAAACAATACAGAAATTCAACCCATGAAGTACGGAAGACCTTCCCAGCTTGCGTCTGTAGGTCATTGGAAATTCACCAGCACTTGGCCAGGCTCACAGGATGAGAACACATGACCCCCGCCAGTCTGTGAAAGAGCTGCCAGCCAGCACCCAACGTGGAGATGCACCCAGCGTGGAGATTCACCCGGCCCCACCACAGGCGATCCAGTGCTCAGGCAGGCAGCACCTTGGTCAGGATCCCCCAAGTCTGTTGAGAACATTTATAAGCCTGTGGCCCACATCCATTGGCTCAGAGTGCACACCAGTGGGCACTTTCACAGGTAGGTGTAAGAACATTGTGGGTACCAAACCTCACCCAAAATGAGATAGGGGCTTATGCTCGAAATCCTGCCCTCTTGGAACACCTGCACTCCGCACTGGTCTGGTGAGTGGCAGAACCCCTTCTGAGATGAGGTTTTTCAGATATTGTAGCCTATGAGCAAGCTGGTCCCTGCCATAGGTTCCTGAGATTAGTGCTTGGCTTCAAATATGCTTACCAGATTTCTTCTGTCCTTACAATTCCTCCTTTGCCTCAATGCTTTGTCACTATAGCAAGTGTATCCTGAGTTAGGACCCCTTTGCTAGTCCCACTTTGAAACGTGTGTTCTAGCAGGCATGTCTTTCTAAGTGTCTTTTTTCACATTAACTGATGAATATTGTTATCTTTTTTTTAAATTTGTGGGGGGGGGCCAGCTCAGCCCACCAGGGGGCGGGCTGGCTGGCATGTGGTGCTGGGGGATTGAACCGCGGTCCCTGGGCTTTGCTAAGCTTGTTCTAAGTAGGTGCTTTAGACCACTGAGCCATCTCACCAGCCCGAATATTGTTATCTTAATCTTCATGGTTTTCTGCTGAGTGAGAATCATCTTGGTCTTCACATCTTTTTCTTCTGAGTCCTGTTCTTGGGAATTCTTTCCAGATGCTTCTCTATATTTAGATTCTGGGGAAAGGATTGACTTTTCTTAGGCTTGCTGAGTTGTGCCTTAGTGGTAGTTACCTGCCTAGTGTACACAAAGTCAAGGTTTTTATCTCTAGCACTGGAAAAAAAGAAAAAAGTCATAGTGGGAAGGTCAGGGTTTCTTTCATGGTCTCCATCTGTATCATCAGATTCCTGATGTTGAATGATCAGAGAGCGTGCTGTCTGACTCCCCACCTAACTACCTCCAGCTGGCTTCTGCAACTCCTCTCCCTCCATTTTGTTTTCAGACAGGTTCTCATTACGTAGTCTAGGCTGGCTTCCCACTTGCAGTCCTCCTGCCTCAGCCTTCTGAGTGCTGGAGTCACACACATGCAGCACCACACCCCTCAGACTCCCCTCTCTTTGGTCCAACACAGCTCACCCTGACCACAATAGAGTCAGGGAACCAATCAACTCCTGAGCCCTTATCCTATTACTCATTAAAAAGCCAGGGACCTAAAAGCAATTTTTCCTAAGTAACAGTGGGCCTTCACTTGGGCCTATAGATACCCAATAAAAAACTAAAAGCAGAAAAAACTTGACCTTCCTGTGTAAAGCTTTGGGTCCAGTCCCTTCTTAGGTCTTCAGATAGACATGGCAATCATTTCATGTCTACATTTTGGCAAAGTTGATCCATACTAAATCTGCATAACCTAGTTCATCCTTCTTCAAGACTGAGGGCATTTTTTTTTAAATGTGTTCCTTGTTGTGGTTTTGTGAAACAGGATCTTGCTTTGGACTCACCCTATAGCCCAAGCTTGTCCTTTTTTTTTTTTTTTGGTGGGGGGAGGATACATTCTTTTTTTTTTTTTTTTTTTTGCGGAACCGGGGATTGAACTCGGGCCTTTGCGCTTGCCAGGGAAATGCTTATTCCCCTGAGCCATCTCCCCAGCCCGGAGGATACATTTAGACATGCATAATGATCACATTCATCATAGGTAATTTGTACCTGCACATGATACATCTCACTGTTTTCCAATCCCCCTCTGCTTCCTGCAACCCTTTTTCCTCTTATTTACAAAAATTGTTTCCATTTTTCCTTCTATCCTCTTTTTTTCTTGTCTCTTTTTCCTTCTCCCTTCCTCCTCCCTTGTTATCCTCTCATTTGAACATTTTCTTCCCATTTCCCAGTATCTACTATAAGGGTTTTTGTTGTTGTTGTTTTTTGTTTTTGTATTTTAGGGAACAATCTACAGGGTGTTCAGGGTCTCACTACTAGATCAGGCTCGTAGTGATCTGCCTGTTTACAGCCTCCCAAGAGCTGGGATTACAGCCGCACCACTGCACCCAGTCTCAATCACCATCTCAGTGCACCCTGGGGGTGAGGCCGGCACAGCAGGCCTGGGGATCAAATCCCCGGCCCCTGCACCTGTTTGCAGGCGCTTTAATCTGCTGAGCTATTTGGCTGGCCTTTTATTATACATTTTTGTCCTTACACTTTTGGTTTCTCATACCAGAGAAATAATGTGATATTTACATTTAAGATGATGGTCTCGAGGTGTATCCATTCACCTAGGAATGTCTCAAGTTTATCCTTCTTTATGGCAGATTAGTACTCCATTGTATGAAAAAAGCACATCTTCTTTTTCCATTCATTAATTGATGGACATTTGGCCTGTTTTCAAGATTTAGCTATTACAAATTATGCTGCTATAAACATGGATATGCATATACCACTGTGCTATGATGTTTTTAATTTTTTCAGGAGATACCAGGAAAAAGAATAGCTGGGTCAAATGGGACCTCTAATTTTAGTTTTTTGAGGAATCTCCACACTGATTTCCACAGTAGTTGCACCAGGCTACATTCTCACCAACAGTGGAGAAGGGATCCTTTTTTTTTTTTTTTTCAACAACCCCACCAGCATTTTGTCATGGTTGATTTCTTGATAATAGTCATTTTTTCTGGAGTGAGATAGAATCTCAGCATTGTTTTAATTTGTATCTCTCAAATGACCAGTGATGTTGAACAGTTTTCCAAATATTTATTTTCTCTTTCTACTTCTTCATTTGAAATTTGTCTGTTCATTTCAGATGCCTAGGCTGGTCTTAAACCCAGATCCTTCATCTACCTTCCAAATGCTGGGATTGCACAAGGTAAAGATTTGCAGGGACATTCAATCACATCCAGAAGTCTCCACTGTTCCAAACCTGTGGTACCTTGGGTTCCAGCAAAGCCTTACAGGCCTGAGACTCCATGAGCAGAAACAGTCATGTCATGGAAACAGAATGGCCCCCCAAGCCAGAGATTTTTCTAGAATTAGGAAATCAAAGATGAAGTCATGATCAACGAGACCCCAGTCTTTCACAGTACCCTGTAAAGCTGGACTTTTTCTCTTCCAACCTCTGTCCTTTCTGTTCTTCACTAAAGACCCTTCCTTATTTTCTTTTACTTTCCTTTGTTAGGGCACTATGTGGTCCCTTCCGCAGCACGCACAGTTTGTTTGGGGGCCGCTTGGTCTCTGCTTGAGGTGTGCTCTACTCCCTTCACTTTCTCCTACTTTTCAATTGAAATTATTTTTCCTTGTAAATTCTTGCTAAATGTCTCAGTCTTAATTTCCATTATCACTGAAGCACAGACCAGGGAAGCCTGTGACAGACGAGTCCCCACTCTTCAAAACAGACCGGTTTTCTCTTTCTTTCTTTCTTTCTTTCTTTCTTTCTTTCTTTCTTTCTTTCTTTCTTTCTTTCCCTTTTTTCCCTTCAGGTTGAGACTTTAAACCTTTTTCGGCACCCCAAAGGAGCAGATACTTTTCTGCTGCGCAGCTTCTGGTAACACTCATCCGCACGGACGTTTCCTAACAAGTGGCCTTGCAATACGGAGTCTTTTCCGGGGGACCCTACCTACACATTCTCAGTACCTACATTGCGAGGAGCCATAGTATCACCCCCGGGACACACCACTTCTGTGTGCACGGCACTACCCTGCACGGGCAGTGGGCTTGGTCGCGGTGTCTCGGGATCCCAGCCTAGTCGCCTAGCTCCTGGACCGTGTCGGCGTCTCTCTGGCGGCCAGGGATGTAGGCAAACTCTATTCAACCCTTTGAAGAACTGCGAAGTTGTCTTTCAAGGTTACTCTGTCTGGTCCTTTTATGTTCTTTTTTTTTTTTTTTTTCATGTTATTTTATTTTATTTTGGCGCCCGGACTGTGTTAACAGTGGGAACCGACCAAAGGTAGGAAGTTTGCGCAGCACAGACTGACCAGCAGCTACCACCACCACCACCACCATCACCCTCAGCGCCCCAACCTGGCGGTCACCTAGCGACCGGGCAGCGTCCTTCCCGGCAGGCCCTGCGCCCGGCGCCCAGCGTGCCGCGCGGCTCGGTCGCGCGTTACCAGTCCCACAATGCCCTGCAGTCCCGCCCCTCTCTGCAGAGACCCCCCAGGACGACGTCGCGACCCCTGCCCGCGCACCGCCTGCTAGTCGGTGCGGCCTGCCGCCATGCGGAGGGGCGAGCGCAGGGCCGTTGGGTGCTGGCGGCCCGGGTCTCCGCGGCCCGAGGGCCGCCGCAGTACTGAGTCTGAGGTCTACGACGACGGCACCAACACCTTCTTCTGGTGAGGGCTGGGGGGGGCTGGTCTGGAGACTGGCCTGGGGGCCGGGACCGGCCCAGGTCTCTCTGCCACGGGCAGGCCACGGGAGGCCCCTGGGGGTCGGTCGGGTGCATTTCTCCGCGTCTTGGAACGACCTCTGGGAGGCTTTCCTGGCCTTGCCATCCGATGTTCTTGCCCCTCGCGTTTCCACTCCGGGAAGCGCCTGACTGGCCGCTGGAATTCGTGTGCTTCTCCCGTCCAGTGGCCTGAACCGGTGGGGTGAGCGTGGCATCGCGCTACGTGTCAAGGTTTGTGCAGCGCTACGGATCGAACCCCTGCTCTAATCAGTCGGTCCGTCCGTCTGTCTCCCCATCCCCGCTGCACAACTTGACCCTGGCCAGGCCTTGGGTGCAGTTCAGGCTGCTTGCTGTACCTTTAGTGAGGCAGTGACCGAGGTTCAGTGGGGACTGCGGGTCCGGGTTTCAGAACCCTGGAGGAGCCCTGGATGACAGTTCCCAGGTGTGCTTCTTATGACCTTGGGCTAGCCCTTTACCTTTTCTCATTTGTGAGAAAGGAGAACCCGTAGACCAGAAAGTATGGGTCAGGGGAAGAAGGACTTTACCCTTCTTTGCTTTAAGTTCCAGTCCCCATTCCGCTGAGCTACACTGGGGGCCCAGGAAAGTACACAGAGATGGAGCATACCCCCAGGAAAGAGAAAACAGCTCTAAGAGAACTGAGCTGTGACCTTGACAGAGAGCATTTGATTATGGAGAGAGGGAGAGCTTGGTACTGGAGGAACTGGACGTTTCAGGGATAGGTTCCAGATTTCTGCGGGACCTTGTCCTGATATGGCTTATATCTCTGGTGAGCAATTGGGAGTGACAGTTGAAGCTCTGGAGAAATATGGTCAAGTGGAGGGAAGACTCGGTGGGATGGGGGACAGTCCTTGTCTGGAACTTTGTCAGCACCAACCCCTTGACTATGGTCCGCCAGCACTGCTTTGGGAAATATGCTGGTGGCTGTGGAGCCATAGAGGAGAAGGCAGGGGTGCCTCAGGTCAGCGGGGTATGGTCACAGAGCTGGTGTCCTGTGAAGTGTCTGACCTTCAGGGCCTTGTCATCCTATGTCCTGCCAAGCCCCTCAGGCAAGAAGGAGCCACTGTCCTCCTAAACACATCACTTAGCACCCCTCACTTTCCATGTTTTACATTCATTATTTGTTTTTTGAACCACCCATCCAGCACATATTTTGGAGACCCCTACTGGATGCTTTTAGCATTTAGAGTGCACAGTACAGAACTAAAGAATTTAGCCTTTGGCATAGCCTTAAACTTGAGAAGGCACAGAAGGTGCTGGCTGAAGGGAGAGTGAGAAGTAGCACAAGTCAGGGCATAGTCCTCTCCCAGCTCCAACAAAGGCCTGTGCTGGTTTCCAAAAGCAGACTAGAGGCTCTTGGGCTTTGCCCACAGTGAGTGCTTGGGACACAGATACCTGTGGTAGCAGAGCTTGGGGGGGGGGGGGCGGTCAGAAGGCTTTCCAGAAGGATGTGGCCTGGACAGGTGGCTTCCCTTTCCCCAACCTCATTGCAGAGGAGCATGGGGCAGGTCCTTGCTGTGTCTGGGGTGGGAGAGCTTTATGATTTCTCACGGAGGTGGCCAGGTGCTTGCCTGGTAAAATGGACTTACGCTCCCTGCAGAGCCATGCTGCCAGACCCCTTCTGATTAAGTCGTTACAGCTTTGCTGTGCCAGGATTGTTAAAACTTTTTTTTTTTTTTTTTTTTTTTTTTTTTTTTTGTGGAACCGGGGATTGAACTCAGGCCCTTGCACTTGCCAGGGAAGCACGTATTCCACTGAGCCATCTCCCCGGCCCCCTATTTTGTGTTTTAGACATTTATTTTTCTTTTTTTTTTTTTTAATTTTTTTTATTTATTTGAGAGAGAGAGAGAGAGAGAGAGAGAGAGAGAGAGAGTGTGTGGTGTGTGTGCGGCCAGCTCAGCCCACCAGGGGGCAGGGCTGGCAGGCATGTGGTGCTGGGGGATTGAACCGCGGTCGCTGTGCTTTGCCAAGCTTGTTCTAAGTAGGTGCTTTAGACCACTGAGCCATCTCTCCAGCCCCCTAGACATTTATTTTTCATTTTGTGATCCTGGGGAATCAAACCCAGTGTCTCTTGCATGGTACACAAGTGCTCTGTACGGAGCTATGTCCTCAGCCTGTGGTTTATAGAATCGTAATAGTGGATGTTACAAAAGTTAGCATGACATAAAGATGAATCTAAGAGCCATTGATGACCTGTTATCCCAACACTTGGGAGGCTGAGGAAGGAGGATTTTGAGTTTGAGGCCTGATTTGGGCTGCATGACAAGTTTGAGACCAGCCTGGCCTGCTTAATGGTAAGACCCTATCTCAAGCACTCACTGCCCCCACCGCCGATGAATCTAAAGAAGTGAATGTTTGTAGAAATGACTTTAAGTTCCAAGATTAACAAGAGAAACTTATTCTTTAGTGTGGGGAACTCGGCTGAGGACTAGATGGTTAAGCTGCAGGGCAAAAGCATGCAGGCTCTCTTAGGAGTGAGGCATATGTGTCTTGAGCATTGTCCTTCCTTTTCCTCAATGAACTGCCCAGCCTTGAGACAGCCCCTGCCCAAACTGCCTTCCTTCTGGTTTTTTTTTTTTTGTTGTTGTTGTTGTTGTTGTTTTTTAATTTATTTATTTGTGTGGGTGTGTGTGGGTGTGTGTGGGTGTGGCCAGCTCAGCCCACCAGGGGGCGGGGCTGGCTGGCATGTGGTGCTGGGGGATTGAACCGCCGTCCCTGTGCTTTGCTTGGCTTAGCTTGTTCTAAGTAGGTGCTTTAGACCACTGAGCCATCTCACCAGCCCCCTTCCTTCTGTTTTTCTCTTGTGATACTCTAAATAAAAAGCAAAGAGTTCTTGGCTTTGGTGCTGCCTGTGGCAGTGTCTCTAACACTGAGTGCTCATGATTGAGATGGCCCCTTTGGGCCTCTCAGTGGCAAAGCAAGTCTCACCTCCCAACGACTGTAGTCTTTCCATCCTCTGTGCCACCACAGTGGCACACTGCAACACTTTCAGTGCTGGGCATTGGACCCAGGACATTCACACTGAGCTCCATTCCCAACCCTTTTTGCTTTTTATTTTGGGACAGGGTCTAGATAAGTTGCCTAAGTGGGTCTCAAACTTGTGGCCTTTCTGCCTAGCCTCCCAAAGTCCTGGGATAACAGGTGTGTACCATCTTGACCAGCCAAAGGGAACTTTTGTGTGATTCAAAACCTAGTATTTGGACTTTTTATTTTCAAAGACAGTTGGGCTTCTTTGGAGCCAGTGACAATTGATAGGTGCAAAAGTTTTGGGTTTTGTTAACTACTTGTCAGGCACAGGGCCTGCAGTTTGGGTCTTCTGCCATTCGTAGTGTTCTTGTGCATGTGCTGTCCATCAGGGAGGCTCTGGGAGTGTTAGGACTACATACTCAGACACACTGAAGAGCCTTGCAGACCCTCACTCTGGAGAGACGTGTGAACATTGTCCTATGGGTGGAAAATAATAAAGTACTGTGGGTGTCCACACTTGCTAACCAGCTCCCACCGGGGTGAGATTTGAACACTTTGTGAATTGTATCTTATATCTTAGAACTCAGTGCTCCAGTGCTTTCTCTATAACTCAGGACTATCTGGGTGATCTTAGGTATCCCAGCTTCCAGCATATGTCTTCCTGAGCTCCTATATATTAGGACTTTTCACAGCTTTGCCCACACCTAGGAAGTATGACTGGCCAGTTGATGTCCTTTTGGTCTTGCTGGCCAGAAGGCCAGAAGGGCAGTGTCACAGCCCGGAAACCTCTTGCAGGCTAAAGGCAAGCCAGACCCTTTCTTGGCTATGCCTTCATGCTTTCCTTATTGGTCTTGACAGGCTTCCTTCCCTACCTCTCAGCATGTTGAATGTGGTTGTCTCTAAAGAAACTCAGCTGGATATTTTTCACTCCTGGAAGGGAGCCAGTCCTTGTGCTCTCTCCCTTGTAGAGTAACCAGACCTGGGCCTGACCATGGGACCCAGACCTTCACTGCATCTGCCTGGGCATTGCATCGCAAATGGGGAAGGTGCAAAGAGATGTTTCTGCGCACATCTGGCACCCAGGGTGGGGCAGGGATGTGCACCTCAGGAGTCAGTTGTTTCCACATGTATGTGGCTGCCTATACACTGTGTGCAGGCCAAGGACAATGCGATGGCTTTTCTTTCCAGCAGCACTTTTGTAGTCCTAAAGTCCGTCCTGCTGTAAGCCTGATGTGCTGGTGCCCTGACCTACTGTCCTCCTCGTGTACAGTACAGAGCTGGGGCATCCTCACCTGTTTCTGTCTCATCAGGCCCAAAGGGACCAGTGACTTTTTTTTTTTTTGCGGAACCGGGGATTGAACTCATGGCAATGTGCTCATGGCAGCTCTAGGCCCGCACTTTCTTTCTGAATAGTGAAGGCCTTGGTGATTGTCAGGAGGAGTAGGTGGCATGGTCAGCGGACCCTTGTGTTTGCCAGGTAGGTGCTTATTCTACTGAGCCATCTCCCCGGCCCCTCTCGGTGACTTTTTAAATGACAGGATGGATATTTATATCAAAGGGCAAAGAGTTATTTATTTTCTACCTGTTTCTTTGTTTGTTTTGCATTGCTGGGAATTGAACCCAGTCCTTTGCACTGGACTATATCCCTAGCCCTTTGTATTTTTTGAGATAGGGTTCTACAAAGTTGTTAAATTGCCCAGACTAGCTTGAACTTGTGATCCTCCTGCTTCAGCCTCCCAGAGTGTTGACATTATGGGCGTACATGACCTTTGTGGGGTTTTCTTGGAGGAGGATGTTAAGGCAGAGTCTCATGTTCATGCTAGGCTCAAGCTTACTGGGTAACCCAAGCCAACCTTGGCCTCAGGACACTCATGCTTCAGCTTGTAGAGTTCCGGCATTACAGGCCTGTGCTACCACATCCAGCTAAATCTGCATTTTTATTTTTTATTTTTTTGCAGAACCGGGGATTGAACTAAGGCCCTTGCGCTTGCCAGTGAAGCGCTTATTCTGCTGAGCCATCTCCCCGGCCCCTAAACCTGCATATTTTTTTTTTAAAGGGGATACAGATGAATGACCATTTTTTAAATAATTTTATTTATTTATTTGTGTGTGGCCAGCTCAGTCCACCAGGGGGCGGGGCTGGCTGGCATGTGGTGCTGGGGGATTGAACCGCGGTCCCTGTGCTTTGCTAAGCTTGTTCTAAGTAGGTGCTTTAGACCACTGAGCCATCTCACCAGCCCTAAACCTGCATTTTTATAGAACTCAAAAGTCTCTGTTTTCTCTTGGGCTCATTGGATGATCAGAGCTGCTGTGGCCGGTTGACCACTTGAGAAGCTACAAGATCACTGTTAATGAAAACTAATATTGGAAAAAGCAAGCAAAAATGAAAGTGTTGAAGTCCCTTTTAAAACAGGCTTTAGCGGGCCAGATAGCTCAGCAGACTAAGGTGCCTGCTTAGGCAGAGCGCAGTGGCCTGGTACTGTGCTGGCCCTGCCGCAGGGCATGCTGAGAAGGTGATTGAAACTGGGCTGGTGGTGTCGCAGGCCTGTAATCCCAGCTCTTGGGAGGCTGAAAACGAGAATCACTACAGACTTCCATCTATATAATGAGACTTTGTACTAAAAATACAAACACACACACACACACACACACACACACACACAAATAAATAAAACAGGCTTTGACTGATGTTGACTTCTGTCCATGCTGTGAGCAAGAATGCACAGGACTCTGTCGTTTAGTCAGGACCCTCTCCTGGACAGGGTGATTTGGTGTGTGTCACATATCACAGAAGAACTTGTCACGTGGTCTGTGCTCTGACCCTGCCTGTGTGTTTTTGGATTGTAGGCGAGCCCACACCTTAACTGTGCTGTTCATCCTCACCTGTGCACTGGGCTATGTGACTCTCCTGGAAGAAACACCTCAGGACACAGCTTATAACACCAAGAGGTAATAGGTGCCTGGCATGGAGGGTGGGGTGTCTCAGGCTGCCAGGGCCCCTTGCCTCCCCCTTGTGTATCTGAGGCATCTGCTGCCACAGCTACCTATTGTAGTCAGGGTTTACAAGAAAAACAATTTAATACAGGGCACACAATTCAATAATCTATAGGATTATTTTATAGTATTCACCCAAAGAATCAAATGCAAAAGAAAGCAGGAGATCTGTTCATACACTAGAGACCCAGAGAATCCAGCTGAGGGCCTAGATCCTTTGGCAATGTCCTGCATGAGTCCAGCTGAAGAATTGGACCCCATGGTAATGTCTCATGCAAGTCTGTAGTCTATATCAAGGGTCTGCACAGGGAAGGCCCAAAGGTCAGTGGTGGAAGCCAGAAAGTCTGTGCCAGTGGGATGAAGGATCTGTGCCAGCTGCAGGCTGAGCGATCTGCACTGGAGCCACGAAGCGATGCTCAAGGTAAGAGCCAGCGCTCCCCTGAAGAGCACCCCAGCCGTCCTCAGTGATAGTGTAGACCTGAGCCCCTCCAGCAGTGAGAGCAGCTGGGCTCGCACCAGCAGAGCCAGTGCGGCCAGCTTCTCCAGGAGAGTCAACAGCATACGTCTCCCCCTCCAGTTTTGTTTTGTTTTTCTGAGACAGGACCTTACTATGTAAATTGGCCTTGAACTCACTGTGTAGTCCATGCTGGCCTGGAACTCACAGCAATCCTCCTGCCTCAGCCTCCCAAGTGCTAGGATTATAGGTATGCACCAGCACATCCAGATTCCAGTTCTCTTTTTACACTGTTGTCACGTGGTCTGTGCTGTGACCCTGCCTGTATGTTTTTGGATTGTAGGCGAGCCCACACCTTAACTGTGCTGTTAAGGAATCTTCGTGTGGGCCTTCCACACTCAACACCACACTGATTCACTTCAGCTAGGTGTTACAAGTTGACCATTAGTTAATCCACCATGCTACCCTTGGAGCCACATGGTATTTTCTGCCCAGGAATGGTCACTAGAACGCTGGGGCATGGTTACTTCTGAGTGGGCACAGCTTGCACTGCAGAGACAGAAATGTGCTATAACATCTCCAGGGTGGTCCCCCGAGTTGACACTGTTTAGAGAGGTGTTGATACCAGCAATTTTTAATACTTAAACCATTCCAGGACACCAGAGGACATCTGATGGCCACCTGTGACCTCACTCACTTCTCAGGATTCTCCACAGCAGGCCAGTCGCCAGAGTGGTCTTTGCCTAGACTGCAGGTCCCTGAGCCCATTCTCTCGTATTTGTCACTAGCGAGTCCATGTTTGTTCTGAGTTTTGTGTCAAACTGGTCTGTCTCATTGCTCTTCTGGTCCTTGGCCTAGGTGCTTTCTGCCATTAGGGCCAGGCCCTGCTGATCTTGTAGGGACGGAGGTGCAGCAAGGTACCTGAGGCCCATCGAGCCCACAGGCTTGTAGGGTGTGCTCCTGGCAGCTAGGCCCACACTTTCTTTCTGAATAGTGAAGGCCTTGGTGGTTGTCAGGAGGAGTAGGTGGCATGGTCAGCAGGTGTGATGTGGACATATTGTTGGCATCTCCCATGGGATTGGTGAGCTGTGAGGGCAACTGTAACCACATTGTATAGCTCACCATGAGTGTGGTAACCTCGGGGACATGAGGTGCTCAGCCTGTCTGTGTGCCACAGCAGGCCTAACAGAGAACATCACGTCTTTGGTAAACCAGAGCTTCAGATGCAGAGTTGCTGTCAGACTACCCTGGAGTGGTCACTCCCCTGTCCCTCTGCCCTCTCCTCTCCTGGCCTAGCCTACAGGTACCTCCTCCTACCTGTGCGCCCTGGGTTTTCCTCTCAGCGGCCAGTCACCTTCTCTGTTTTTCCTTTTTCCTGTCTTAGGTACCAACTTGCTACCAGGCCCGCCCCATCTGCCATGTCCAGCTGTCCCGTGCTGGGCTTCCCGAGCCTCATCTGAAGGCCTACATAGCCATTTTTCTTTCTCAAGCAGACCCTGAGTTGTAGGTGGCCCATAGTAGATGTGGAGCCTATGTCGTGTCACCTCCAGCTCTGATCTTGCTGCATTGGTGCTTGTTGAGGGGCCACTTGTGGCCACTGGACGGTGGTGTGCAGGCGGGCAGCATATCAGCAAGAGCCTGTATCTTCCTAGAGGGGCTTTGGAGAGCTGGGTTTCCCTGAACATGGAGATGTCTGCATCCTCTGCTGGGCATGATGGGCAGAAGAGTCCCAAGAGGAAGGGCTTGGCCTCACCTCAAGAAGCATCTTCCAGATACAAGGAGTATAGCTCAGGGCCTAGGTTCAGTTCCTAGCACCAGAAATAACAAAACAAAAAACAGGGTTCTCTGTGAGGCAAGTGAAATTGATTACAGATGTAAGGTTTCAGTATCACTGGGCAAGGGGGCCGGGGAGATAGCTTAGTAGAATAAGCGCTTGCTTGGCAAGT